GCGGTGCCCATCGGCACCCTGGCACCTGCAGGCCTGTGGCTCCGGTGAGGATACCCACATCACTTGCAACGGGGATGGTGATGACACGAGCAGGATGCCCACCCCAGGTAGCTCTGCCTGTGCTGGCAGCCCCGTTGTAGCAGGCTGGCTGAGTTCCCCCCCTCAATCTGCTTGGCGATGTCCCCACAGTTGTCCCAGGCAGCACTACCTTGGCGGCAGAGGCAATGACCGTGCCAGTGCCCACGATCCTGTGCGTGGTCCTGGGGATACTGCTGTGCCTGGTCCTGGGCATCCTGGCCAGGCAGACCTGCTGTGCCTGGGCTTGGTGCCGAGGTGGGTCCTGGTGGGTGCTGGGCCAGAACCAGTTTGGGGCTCCCCCGCTGCAGGGTGGCTCAGAGGGTGTGCAGTGGGTGACACCGGGCACCCACGGACCTGGGTGAGAGTTGCCTGTCATTTCAGGCACTGGTACAGCCATGGATGCCATCTCTGAAGCCGTCTACGAGGAGCTGGACTACATCCCGATGCCAGAGTACCAGGAGGTGCCCAGTCACCCAGGTCGGTGCAGCTCCCCCCAAAGTGGGAGGGCTCTGCTCCTGTGCAGCACCAGGTCCTGGTGGTGTGGCACCAGCTCATCCCCATGGTGTGGGGGTGTCCCCTGGTTCTATCACGGCCCCGCTCTGCAGTGTGGGGCTGTGCTGCCACCCCCAACACTTTGTCCTCCTCTTGCCAGGCTCCCTGTCAGAGGGGTCGGGGATGAAGGTGCCGCATTACACTGGGGACAGCATGGAGGAAAATGACCCCAATGCAGCTCCAGGTAGGGACATGGGGGCAGGAACCTGGTGGGGAGCCCTGGGGAAAGGGGACATGGCCAAGCACTGGGGAGCTGAGGGGACATGGCTCCCTCCTTGCTCAGGCAGGTGAGCACAATCAGACCCCTGCCACAGTTCACTCCCATCCATTCCCGTGCCTGTCCCAGACTCCCCTATCCAGAATGGCTCCCCGGATGGCTACGACGATGCCACGGCCATGCCAGAAGAGTCCCCTGCTCCTGGCACTGGAGACATCTCCAAGGGGGTGGCATGGATGAGCAAGGGTTGTGGCCCACCCACAGGTACGAGGGGCGATGGCCACCCTATCCCCTGGAGGACCACCTCCTGAGGGATTTGGCTGCAGTGGCAGGCAGGGAACAGGCAGCAAATCCACAGGGGCTGCAGCAAGACCCCAGCTGGAGACTGGCAGGAGGGACACAAAGCAGCCCCCCCTCTAAAGCGCTGGCCTTTGCTGTCCCCTAAGGTGGGAGTTGCCCCACCCCAAGTCCCCCAGGAACCACAGGGGACCACCCCCTGGCACAGCCCCCGGCTAACACAGACTATGATGATGCTGGCATGAGCACCCTGGGGACATCGCTGTGAGGGCGCCTGGACCACACCGCAGGAGTCCCTGGGGACATGCAGTAGGGCTCTGTCCCCAAGAAGGGGTGACCCTGGCTGAGGAGGTCCCCTCTCCCTGCCCAGGACTGCACCAAAACAGCTCCCATGTCCCTCCCATGAGCAGCACCACAGGGATTTTCTTTCATTTCACTGTGTATATCTATTTTTTTTTTCTATTAAAACCCCAAACTGGCTGAGACTCACTTCTAGGGCTGGCACCTTGCTCCAGGGCACATCAGCCATCCCTCAGGGACACGGGGCAGGAGCCAGACCCACAGATGCATACCTGGGGATGGCAGGGGGGGAGAAGGATGGGGAAGAGCCCAGAGGGGTTACTGAGACTGGCCCCAAGGCCTTTATTTGGCACTGGCAAACACCCACAACTATTCCCACTGACACGTGTGGGGATGTGGGAGAGGGAAGGACCTGGGCTGGCTCTGCCCTGATCCTCAGGAGATGCAGCCAGGACCTTCCCCCCTGCCCCCCCACGCATGGGACAGGCTCAAACCCAGGGAGGCTTCAGCAGCACCAAGAACCAGGCTAGAAATGGCTCCGGTTGTTGCAAGGACCTCTCCTAAAGGAGGGGAGCCCTTTCCTGCCCCCTGGCAGGACCCCACGGTGGAAGGGCAGCCGGGCCATGGCCCCTGCCTGTAGCACATCTTCTCCAGGAGGTACCCGATCTTCAGGTCTGGCTTCAGTGCCTGCAGGGCAGCCAGCTCCTGCAGCACTTCCTCGTTTAACCCAGACGTGCTCAGTCTTTAAATAACATAAGGAGAAGAGTTGTTAAAAACCACCCTCTGCAATCCTGGGTGCTGGGGTGCTGGTATCCTGCTCCCTGTCCCACAGAGTCCCACCCCAGGGTGCCAGCACAGGGATGTTGGGGATGGAAGGGGGACTTGGCAGGCACCTTACCCCAGGGTCCGCAGCGAGCAGGAAGGATGTCGGAGCTGCTGGCAGAGCTGCAGGATGCCGCTGGTTCCCAGTTCGTTGTCGCTCAAGTCCAGGCAGGTGAGGTGGGGGCTCTCCACCAGCTGAGCGGCCAGGGCTTGGCAGCAGGCCCCTGTCCGCCCCCCAGCCTGCAGGACCAAGGCAAACAGGGACGTGGGGTTTGACCAGCCAGTTGGAGAGCTGCACCAGGTTGGGAAGGAGGGAATGCGGGCCCAGCAGCCCCTTACCTCAGGGTCTGCAGCTGGCAGGAGCGGCGCTGGAGCCCCTCGCACAGCAGCTGCACGCCGGCGTCACGCAGCCCCTCGCTGAAGGACAAATCCAGCTCCTCCAGGCACGGGCTGGCGCCCAGCACAGCAGCGAGGTCCTTGCAGCAGGCGCTGGTGAGGCGGGAGTACCACAGCCTGCAAGGCACCCGCTGGGAAGACCCTCAGAACCAGACCAAGGACACCCCACTGTCACCCCACCATGGTGACAGTTCCCACCTTTCAAGCTCTTCGTCTGCCTTGGAAGAGTGGAACAGAGGGACCCCAAAGGGACTTTTTTGGGGCACCTCCACAACCCTGCACTCCACCCCATGGGTTTGGCCACCTGGGAGATGCCTGTGGAATGCCGGGGGGGTGCCAGGTCCACTCACCGCAGGATGCG